GGGATTTCGTCGCTTGGCAACGACGTTGTAAAACAAGCCCCCCCCTCGGTGTTTGCCATCGGGATTGGGTTGGGTTTTTGCCGCTTGGCAACGACGTTGTAAAACAAGCCAATTCACTTCGTAAACTCAGCAACCGGGTTAGTTACCGTTTTTATTGTACCTCTGTTTAATCTTTGGCGGTAACCATTATGGCGGTCGAGTAGATCATGTTGTGCGGGGTCGAGAACCCTCTGTCGGCAGGCACAGGACGGTTGCTACCTTTTTCTGCGGGATTATTCGACACTTCCTTCTTCATTGGATCCAAACTATCAACCAACTTAGTTTTCGAAACGTCCGGTACCGTTTGCATCCATTGTATCAACCACACCGCTGTCCTCGCAGAAACTTCAACACTCTACTCCCTCCCCCCCTTCCCCTCGCGTTGATTTTTTCCCCCTCCCCTCAGGCAAAGAGAAGGAACGCTTCACGCTCGTTCTGGCTGTCATGGGCGGACGGCAAAAGGTTTCGCCGCGCATCATCTTGGCACGCCATTCATCCCCCCGACCGTGAGCGGCAAGGGCAACATTACCCTGCCACAAGGACGAGGGTTTCATCGCCGCCCTCAAGAGAGACGCGAACACCACCGTCATCTTCATCCCAGGCGGGTTGACGCCCTTGCTCCAAGCGCTCGACCGCATGCTCAACAAGCAGATGAAGCGGCTGCTGCGGGGCAAGTACACCGCCTACAGCGCATCGGCGGTCGCAGACGCCCTGTCGGGGAAGCTGAAGCCACCGGAGCGTGGGGTCGTCTCCACGTGGTGCAAGGAAGCGTGGGAGTCCATCACCCCCAAGACGGTGAAGACTTGCTTCAAGATCTGCGGTCTCACGCTCGCGCTCGACGGCAGAGAGGACCACGCCTGGTGCGAGCACAACTTCGGGGAAAACTGCCGTGACCTTCTCGATGAGCAGCACGCCGTGTGGCTTGCTGAGCACCCCGACGTGACTCTCCCGCCGCTCAAGCTGCCGAAGGTACCAGGGGGGTTCGACTTCAATCCCATCACGGATGCTCAGAAGGAGGTAGAGGGGAAGCTGCTGCCCTACGTCGCTGATGAGAGCGACAGCGAGGTGGAGGTCTTGGAGGGCGACAGCAACGTGGAAGTCGTGGAGGGGCAGTGGGACGGGGGAGCCGACGGAGGAGTAGTCGAACTCTGAATCGTAGTTCTTTGGGATTGCCAGTGAGATTGGATGTGTTTGCGATGGTAGGGGCGCGGGCACGAAATAGAGTTCAACTCGCCTAGGAAGTACAGTAGTAGGACGTTGGTAGCTCGCAGTAGTAGTTTGGTGTGATTTTTTACTTCGTTTTTGGTTTCATCTGCGTTTAGAATTGTTGAGAGGATGCCGTTTGCCGATTTGCCGATTTGCCGATGTTGATTCTTCAGAACGAAAAGACGAGAACAAAGAGTACAAACACCACATTATTTTTGAACATCGTCATGGTGTCAAGGGCAGCAGTAGCAGTGAAGCACGCGATTCAAGCTCCCACAGTATCCGGAACTTCCAGCACAAGATGCTGGTGAAAGGGTATCACTTACCGCCAAACCTCACCGCACATATCGGCGTCTCCGCACAGTGCGCGGAGACGACGATACCTGTGCGATAATCTAGCAAATCATTCGGAACCCGCTTTTTTTCCGCACACCCTGTGCCGAGACCCCGATATGTGCCAAGACCTCGATGATTACGGTGTACTATGCGAGCTCAGTTCTGTTTCAAGTCGAAGGCATGTGATGCTGCCGCAAAAATATTTGCACCTAGATACATTTCAGGAGGTGTCATTTAATTCCTACGCGAAGCTGAACATGCAAATAATTTTGGCGCATAGCACGGAAGAACATACGAACACATTCCTTCCCCGTTGAAAAATCAAGTTTGAAGCAGTTTTACGAGTGGATCGGAACGAAAATATGTGCTTGCCTCTGTACCGTCCCCGCCGTCCTTTCAAACTAATAGTGGCAAGTGCTCGTGGGCCTTCCAGCAAACGCAATGACATCCGTTACACCATACGAATGGAAGGGACGCCAAAACCCGAATAAATATCAAACAAGTTGTGCTCAACGGTTGCGTACCAGAAAACACTTGGCGATTATGACGGTACGCCACCTGGATCACCGCTAGAGCAACGATCCCCCCGATATCCCCACCCAATCCCCGCTTGCTCTCATCCCTCGCCCATGTTGCGAGATATTTCCCCACCGCTGCGTCAACCTGCGATCTATTTACCCATCGAAAAAATAAGTGAGAAGGGCGATCAAGGGAGGTTGGGGGGCAAAAAATGCTCTGCCGCATTGATTGCTACTGTACAGGGTTCCGTTGCACAAGCACTGGATACAACATCAACGATGGCAGGATGGCACACAAACAAGTCGAGGCGTGGGACAGCTCAAAAGAAGGCGTCCCTGCCTACTGATACAAGCGGAAATAGGTCTGTAGCAGAAAGAAAAGCTAGGGATTGCCTGAATCGATTGACTTTCGGGGATCACCTTCACTATTTCGTTCTGAAGTCCTCCGAATGACGGTAGTCGGTGTCAGTCCCGTTTCTCCGCGCTGTATCCTTTTTGTCGAGCTCTGCTTTCGCGCCACCTGCGACTTTTGCTATTGGGAAGACTTTCCTCTACTAGCCATCTAATTGGTCACGCGAGGAAGAACCAATTACAATCTTCTGGCTGCCTGCGGTGCGGTCACCCTCTGCAGCGGTCATTTCTCCTTATGGCGTTAAAAAGTTCTTGGAACGGTGCGGGATCTTGAGCCAAATGTTGTAGCAACCGCACCAAGATTTTTGGTGGGTACGCGCGAGCAGAGAGTGGTAGGTCTAGGTAGACAAATTCACGCACAGTTCATGTCGGCAACAGCCGCAACGGTTGATGGAGCGTTGTCTGACAAATGCATGGTGCTTCAGAAGATGCTGCGATACAGCAGTAGAAGTGCTCTCGGCATGTAGGTACGTGCCCGTGTAGGTATTATGTAGGTACATCGGCGCCGTGGCACCTGCATGCTTGGTGTGAATGTATGCCACAGAGTCGGAAGTCCTGATTCAACAAAAGGGACGCACACAGGAATACCACCCGACGCATTCTTCGATTTGCAGTGCGAGACGAAGAGTTGGGGTGATATTGCGGTGCGCTGGAGCGCGCCGAGACACACATACATACATCGACTAGAGAGACAGAAAACAAGCTCTCACACACCTGCTGCTGTTACATCGAGGCCCGAAACATGATGGCTTCTCCTTTCAGCAACCTGGATGACGTCATCCAGCAAGTAGGGCATGCTTTCGGCAGCAGGGTGCTTCGCCTTGGCCTGAGGTGTTGCCTGCCGGCCTTGCGAGCACACGAAACTAAATGCGGCTGGACCTACGGAAGCGTCGTGAACCGCCGTGTTTGCTGAATGCACCCGGGATTTGCCGTTGGTGGGCCCTTGCCTTAGCAATGTTGGGCCGCACCATGGTGTCGCGTATGTGGGGCCGTTGTTTACGGAGTAGTTCGTGTGGTCGAGGCATGCGGCGGGATTTATTTGGAAAGTCTTGCGGCGCGTACAATGTGAAGATGTTATTTCCAAATGTTTATATTTGGATCCAAGTTTCGCAACCAAAATGTGGAGTGTATAAAGCGGCCCTTAGTTTTGGAATCAATCGTGTAATATACATCTCGTACAAATACGTGCCAAAGATCGAGATTTACACCAAAGATTGTGTCCCCATGAAGATAGGTCTGAGTTGGTCTGGGACACACTTGCGTTTTTTCTGTTGAGGATCACCGATCTACGCTGACGACGTGTGGACCTTCAATCGTCTACAAGCAGCCGATTATTTACACTGTACGCGATTTTTGGAATGGTGAAGGCGATTTTTGCGCCGGTTCGTATGAACTAGAACCTGAAAAATTGAATGTGTGGTAGGTAAATGCTATCGAAATAATCCCCGAGTTGGATCGTTTTATTTTTTTTGTTTTTGCTTTGGTGAGCTAGCCCTATGATAAATTAATGAGAATCCAAGGAGGGGTTTCGAGGGCCATTATTTGCGCCGTCATGAGCGTGCACCACAAGTGTCATGACGAAACATTCCCGAGCAAAGATGCAGAAAACGTTTCCAACGTGTAATGCAACATCCTCCACCCATGAGAACGGCGCGTTGAAAATAAAGGAAACAAGACACCCCATCCAATTCGGGGGCATTTTTGAGACTATTGATGACATCATATCAAAATTTCAGGTTCTTGGGAACCAGCGCAAAGGTCGCGATATCCTCACTTTTCCTCAACATCTTGAGTGTTGTACAGGATTCTTGACAGGGACAAACGGTTGATGCAAAGATGACGTGAGCCCCAAGACTACCATCACCTTTCTCGCACACTCCCACGTAAGTAAGTGCGCACCAAATTTCAGCATAGTCTGAAAAAAACATTTTACTGGTTTCAGTATACCGGAAGTATCCCCCACTACGCCACCATTTGAAAGCTGTTGATGCCTTTATCAACTCGCAGATTCGAAACATACTTACACCGGCGCTTCCCTATGGTCTTCCAGCAGCAGTCACATCATCTGCAAAAATTTCACGCCAACACTCACTCGTGGAAATTTCAGAATGATAGGCGCAAGAAAGAAAGTTGACTTGTGGGCTGATCCAGCTTGTACCCATCGTGCTTTGTGATGCTATCATCGCGTCTGCGTCTTCTGCCTATCGAACTGCCGCACCATTCCCACGCATGCTGGCCACTCGCCCCGATGGGGGGTGGGGGGGCAATCGTTCTCCCCGTCGTACATGTACTCCGCAAATATCAATTGGAAAACAATTCGCGAGAGAAAAATAGCCTCAGTACGGAGCTGCAGATTAGTCTATGTCAATTACTGCTGCTCTACGCTAGGCACCCTGCCCGCCACTTATACGCAACGTGTTGAGACCATACCTGAATACGTAGAGTTTGAGAATCTGTGTTGAATCTTGGTGCTGTTACCGAGCCAGACAAATGATCAGGGGGAATCTTGTCTGGCCTTTGGTAAGACTGCTGGCAGCAGGTCGGTTGCTGCTGTGCGTTTCTTCATTCGAAGGATGGGCACGAGTTCATCGGTCTTGCGAAGAATAACGCATTTTCGTCCGTGTATCCGTGCGTTAAATAACGCCTGTTGATGTAGGCGGAGTCACCGAGGCCACCGCCGCACGCACACGCGTTGGTGATCTTCTTTCATTGTCCCTCCGCCCCAGTCAATCTCTGCAATCTCTACTGCTCGATTCATCGCTGACCGATTGATTCGCGACACCCAGGGCGTGTTGCACAGGGAATACAGAACAGAGAACACGATTTTTTTATGTGTGTATTTTCTTGGCTGTCGTTTTCTTGTTTTCATCGTACAAAAGAGAACTGGCTGAAGAACCCCTCACTACGGTGTTTGCTATGCTCAGCAGCGTCCGTGTAGTACCCCCAACAATATATACATCCTGGATGGAGACCGAGGCTTCCTCCGCGAATTCCACGCCATCGTCGTGGACGTGTGGCAGACGGGGAACGTACCGCAGCAGTGGAAGGACGCCACCATCAAGGTTCTGTTCAAGAAGGGGGACACGATGGAGTGCGGCAACTACCGGGGCATCTCTCTCGTTGCACACGCCGGCAAGGTGCTGCTTAAGGTCGTTGCAACACGCCTAAGCCACTACTGCGAGCGAGAGGGCATCCTCCCGGAGGAGCAGAGCGGTTTCCGCCCACACCGGTCGACGCTCGACATGCTGTTCGCGATCCAGCGGCTCCATGAGCTCGCGAGGAAGAAGAGTACTGCGGTCTTCGCGTGCTTCGTCGATCTCACCAAGGCGTACGATTCGGTGGACCGAGATCTGCTGTGGGACGTGCTCGGACGCTTTGGCGTGCCCCCGAAGATGCTGGCGGTCATTCGCCACTTCCACGAGGGCATGAGGGCGCGGGTTCGAACGGACGACGGGCAGTACTCGGAATGGTTTGACGTCGGCCAAGGTGTCCGACAGGGGTGTAACCTGGCCCCGCTGCGTTCAACTTGTTCTCTGCCGCGATGCGCATGGTCGCAGTGACCGAGTTCGACAAGGACCGCAAGGTGACGGCGGATATGATCAAGATCGCAACACGAGTGGAGCGAA